ATTCAGTGAAGTACCCTCCTGGGGGCGAAGTGAGAAGACTTGTAGTCAGCGACTGATTGATCCCTGGATCTCAGCCAGCTGTTTCCCACAAATGCTGGGGTAGGGGCTTCAGCAACAACTGGATAGCTCGTTTTGTGCTCTCGCTTCTATTAGGAAGGAAAGGTGCAGAAAGCACAGCTGGGGCGCATCGGCATCAGCGCGCTGGCGTTGGCCCTCCTGACCCCGGGAGCAGGAGGCTGCAAGGCTCCGTGGGAGAGCCTGCGACTCTTGAGATGATCCAGGGCTGCTGCACCGGTCTTAACGACCCGGGGTTTGTCTTGGGCAGAGGGAGGATCCCTCCGGACTGTGGCCTCCTGGATTCTCTCACCCAGCAGTTAAGCTGATGGGATCTACAGTGACGGACAAATTCCAGTGTGGAGGAGAAGGGCAATCAGTCGGCTCTAAAGATTAACACCGGTTCCCTCCTGGCGCCCCTTTCAAATCGGGCTTGTTTATGAGCTTCCCATCTCCCCTTTGCCTGGAGAGTGTCCCAGAATAAATAAAATATATATGTTTTTAAACCGAAATCACATTCTAATATAGCGGAGATCTTCCCAGCGTGTAGGAATGAGAAAAAAGCAGGCATTCTGAACTGTCACGGCTTCCCTCTAGATGAAAGAGTGGGATTTCTTTATCGCTTGGTGCTTCTGACAGGCATGGCAAAGTGCTTTAATCTCTGCTCGGATGCTAAATTAAATAAGGCAGTCACAAAGGCCTTGATAATGCCAGACTCAGGTAGTGAGAAATTCTGCTAATGTGGAGGGAAATAAGGTATCTGTATCCCCCTTCCTTCAGATAAGAGCAGGCTTGTCTGGCGTGGTGAAGCCTGTCCGATAACAGGCTTCAGACTCTGAAGCATTGATCGCCTGAGATTGGCTCGTCTCATTTGTAAAGCAGGGGTTCCTGGGAGCCCCAGGTCATCAGCAGTGCAGGAGCACGTTTCTCTCTGCTTGCTTGACATGAGCCTGCTTGGATGCTGGACCTGGGGCCGATGATCGCAGGCTCTGAAATTCACTTGCCGGTCGTACCCGAAGCTGGTGTTGCGTCTTTGACGCAGGAGGTTGACCTGTCAGAACCTGGGCTTTGAGCCTCCGCGGGCCTGGGACTGGAACAGTGGTGTAGTCAGGCCGCTCTGAGAGTCTGAAATGTATCTGCACGGAAGAGACGCGCTCAGATTAGAAGGCGAACAGACGCCTTCATCTTTTTGATCTCTTTCTTTTCTGTGTCCCTGAACCTGCTTGTCTGCCACAGAAAGTCTGGGAGTCCCCCTGCGTGTGAAGGGAGAGGAAGACGAGAGAAGCAGTAGGAGAGAAGTAAAGAGCCTGAGCAGGACTTTCTCTGGGAAAGAGAGGCTGACAAAGTGCCGAGGGCACTGTGCTCCTCACACAGCTGGGCACTGATGGAGCTGTTCAGGGCTCAGGGTCCCGGCTGTGTGAAAGCGCTCTGCCTCAGCGCGCTTGAATCTGGATCAGAGAATAGCCTATTCACAGCCCGCCGGCGCAGGCTCACAGGCAGAGCCGTTGTTCCGAGTTCATCTTCGGGATTCGGGATTGTTCAGGCAGTCACTTTTTCGGGCTTTGATGATGTCAGGATTTTCAAAGAGCAACAGACCCGGCTGCTCAAGGAAGCAGTGAACTGGTTGTCTTTTGAAAGACCCGCAGAGGCCCGAAGACCGAGCAGGCGTGATTCCTCTCTCTTTTCCCTCCTCCCCTGGCTGTGAGTCCTGGACCCCTGCCAGCTCATCACAGACCCCGACAGCCAGGGGTCACATGCACACTCACACACACACACACACTCTCACACACACACTCACACACACACTCACACACACACTCACACACTCTCACACACACTCACACTCACACTCACACTCTCACACACACACACTCACACTCTCACACACACACACTCACACTCTCACACACACAC